TCTTCATCCCTGCAGGCCCTCCCTTCCCCTTCTAAGGGGAATGGCAAGCTCTGGGCTTCCTCAAGGCAGGAAAAGGGGGTGAGTTTAGGGTGTGGTCAGCCAACTTTGACTGAGGTCTGCATAGAAGTCTGTGCCAAGGCTTCTCTGAGTAAGACTGGATAACCCAGAATCACGGAAGGAAATGATGTCACAGCTTCTCTTTCAGTTGTTCTTGACACCGGTGGGTGGGAGCACAGGAGTGAGAGCCAGGGTGGGCACAGCCCTTGTTTTCCAGGGATTTGGGAGATTTATTTGGCAAACATCCTTTGCTTCGGTTCTGATCTCTTTATCCAAGTCCCTGTGTAGAATGATGAGAGCACCTTACACGAAGTCTGCAAAATTACCATGAGAATAACCCATTGGCAGAAAGGAAGACTGTTAGAAGTGGCTGCCGCGGCCTGGACCAGGCACCCAGCAGGTTCACAGGACCCCCATGGCATCTGAAGGGGGACCAGGCACATATTTTAAACTGACCACCCCTGGGTGTAATTTTAAGATGTTAATGAGTCGTTCAAGAACAAAATTGTGTGAGAGCTGATGTGGGATGTCCTTCTGTGTATGGCTTGATTTTATGGGTGAATAAAACTGTTTTGTTTAGTGGCTTAGCAGAGCACAGTCAGGTGGGAAATCTGACTAGAGATATACAGAGTGCGTGGGCAGAGTCAAGGAGATGCCATGTAGCTGTTGAAGGAGGACGACACCGGACTTCACCAGTAGGCCACAGCTTCATGGTGATATATAGATGAATAAAAATGGATTAATTAAAGATGTAAGAGCTAGCTAGAAATACACCAGAGACATTGACCAAACAGTGTTGTAATTGATATAGTTTTTGTGTGATTATTTGGGTCTGGGCAGCCGGGAAATGAACGAGCAGTCTCGATTTACATAGAACTCCATGTAACAGAGAGTTCATGTGTGTGAAAGCCCATGCTGTCCAGTGAGCTGGAAAACCTACACCCCATGTACAGAGAGTGCATACGTGTGAAAGCCCACGCTGTCCAGTGAGCTGGAAAGTCTACACCCCATGTACAGCATCATGAGTTGAGCTACTGAAATATTTCTCTGGGCTCTATCCTGTTTCCCTTCCTCAGAAGTGCACTATCTTCTGATATACCCTCTTGGCGTCCACGTCTGCCCAGCTGTCTCTGTTCTCGCTCCTGATCCAGCCCCTCTAGAGGAGCCTTTCTAGGGGGACCCTGACTTCTGCTGATACCAAGGTGAGCATGAACTGGGACGGTTGTGTTACTGGGAAAGTTTGGGTTCCCTTTCTGGTTCTTACTCTGGTTAATAAAAGAATTTGAAACGAGGTTTAGAAGGAAGCTTAAGAATAATTTTTTATCAGAGTTTGGAAAAATAATAGGACAGGTATGGCAGTTTGAATGAAAATGCCCCCCCCCATAGGCTCATAGGGAGGGGCACTATTAGGAGGTCTGTCCTCGCTGGAGGAAGTGTGTCACTGTGGGAGCAGGTTTTGAGGTTTCCTATGCTCAAGCTACACCCAATGTGCCACAGAGTTCACTTCTGATGCCTGTGGATCATGATGTAGGACTCTTGGTTACCTCTCCAACACCATGTCTGCCTGCACACCACCATGCTTCTTGCCACGATGATAATGGAGGAAACCATTTAGTGGTAAGCCAGTTCCAACTAAATGTTTTCCTTTCTAAGAGTTGCTGTGGTTATGGTACTTCTTCACAGCAAGAAGACCCTAACTGAGACAACAGGCAAGCTGTGTACAGTCACAGCTTCCCAGAGGAGGAAGATGGAGAAGAAAGGAAGCCACATGGTGGAAGCTGGAAGCGTTGTTTCAAAGAGTGAGGAACCCCAGTTCATCAAGAAAATCACACCTAGACTTTGGTTAGTATTCAAAAGGAAAAGATGCAGAAAAGAGGGAATGCTGTCTTTTCTGAGTTAGGGTCCACAGTGCTGTGGGATGTAGCTATGCAAGTGACCACACTGAAGGTGGGGTCCTGGGGAGGAAAAGCACGTGATCTTGAAAGTGGTAATACTCCCTCCATTTAAACAAATTAGCCTTCCTAAGAGGTGATCTCTCCAGGTGATTGACAGGCCTGGTTGAATGAAATCTTTTAAAATTATTACATTATGTATCTATTTTGCAAGTGTGCACACCTGTGCTTGCACAAGAGCCACGATATGAAAGCAGAGGTCAGAGGACAACTTGTGCAGCTGGCTCTTGCCTTCTGCCATGTGTGTTCAGAGGTCAAACTCAGGTTGTCAGGCCTGGTGTCCAGTCCCTTGGACTGCTGAGTCAACTCTCCATCCACAAATTAAGTCTTGAGGGAGGAGAAAATGATTTCTAACATTTTAATCTTACAACAGATCAGAATACATTGTTTCTAACCTCTGTCAGAGGTATTTTCTGTCTTTCTCACCGGTGGAAAACAGCTTTTCCTTAATGGGTCTGAAAAGAGCCTGAGTGTCTGCCCACAATAGCCTCGCAAACTACAGGAGTGTTCCCCCTTAAGGGTCTCCAAATGTGTATAAGCAGAAAGACTGGCGCTGGGAAATAGCATAGCCCACGAAAACCAGAGATCCGATGCTGAATGCCCAAGGAATCAGTCTCACTCCTGTACAGCTTCCTGCAGAAGTGAGGGCAGGAGAAATGAGGCACCTGAATGCCCATCCTTCCACCATTTCTGGTCTCTACCTAGTGATGCAGGATTCCCCTCTGCATGCTGTGATTAGCATTAATGAATAAAGAAAATTGTCTTAGGCCTGAGCAGGGCAGAATATAGGTAGGCGGGGAAAACTAAACTGAATGCTGGGAGAAAGAAGGCAGAGTCAAGAGACTCCATGTAGCCCTGCCAAAGACAGGCACTGAATGGAACTTTGCTGGTAAACCACAGCCACGTGGCCATACACAGATTAGTAGAAATGGGTTAAATTAATATGTAAGAGTTAGTCAATAAGAAGCTAGAGCTAATGGACCAAACAGTGATTTAATTAATACAGTTTCTGTGTGGTTATTTTGGGGCTGAGCAGCCGGAAATGGACAAGTGGCTTTCTACAACATCCCAGGACAGAACTGAGGCCATTTCCTGCTTCTGACCAAGGACAAGAGTGTGACAGATCAGTTTTAGGGTTCCTGCCACCTTTTCTAGCTAACTTTTACCCCCTGTCCTTATCAATTGGGGATAAGGAAGAGGCTCATCCAAGACAGAGGTGGGTGAGAAAAATCCATGACCATGGAACTCCTCCAGGCAGGGAGTTTCAAGTAGAGAGGAATGTGGGCTGAACTGTGGTGGTAGCTCACACCTTTAATTCCAGTACTGGAGAGGCAGAGGCAGGCAGATCTCTACGAGTTCAAGGCTGGCCTATATGCAGAGTGAGTTCCAGGACAGCCATGGCTACATAACACAGTGAAACCCTGTCTTGAAAAACAAACAAAAACCAAACCAAAACAACAACAACAGCAGAGAAATGTGTACCGAGGCTTATAGGAGGGACTTTGAAACTTTTGAGAGGGTCATGAATCTTCCAAAGTATCAGGCACTGTGCTCCAAGATGAGAAATAAAATACTAGCCCTGGTCAGACACACATTTCTGGGAATCTCTTTCTTCTATTTTATCCTTTCTGTGAGCACAACCAGGAGAAGTGCCCCTGTGTGACATCACAGTGTGACATCACATCCCACCACATGTGAGCTCCTCTGTGAGAGGTGCCTCCATGTGACATCACAGTGTAACATCACATCCCACCACATGTGAGCTTCACTGTGAAGTGCCTCTATGTGACACCACAATGTGACACCCCACCCCACCACCTGTGAGCTCCTTTGTGAGAGGTGCCTCCATGTGACATCAGTGTGACATCACATTCCAGCACATATGCCTGGGCTCTCATGGGACCAGGAATAGCTCTGTGCACCTTTCTCAGAAGCTGACAGGTTCTCCCTTTAGACTCTGGGTTTTCCACTGTCTATATTCTTACCTGCTGCTTTGACTACCGAAGTCTGACCACACTGTCCTGATGCCTTTAAGCCAAGGTGATGCCTTCTGGGGACTGCTCACATGTCTCCAAGTGCCGGGTCCAAAGGCCTCATTGATAACACACTGGGCTTGAAGCTTTAGTTCCAGCCCCTGGTATTCAGAAATGAACTTTCATTTTCTTCGAACTGGTCTCAGGTCACGATCTTAGCCTCTGCTATAGCTCAGACATAGAACGGGAGGCCCTCTTCACTCAGGGTCAGTTCTGTGGATTCTGTTGGCACGCATACTCTCTCAGCAGTGAATCCTGGGGTGCCTTTAAATTGACCAATGTTCTTTTGGTGTCTGACTGCAAAGGAGATGTGTCGAGGGTCAGAGCCTGTACACTGTGCCAGAATGGGGCGGAAGGCAGTACCAGTCCGTGGTGGTATCCTGTCCATACCAGCTGCTGCATGCCAGTGCCTCATCCCATTCAGTGTGCATCCTGATCTTTCTTCATTTTATATTATTTGTTTGTTTTGTGTGTGTGTGTGTGTGTGTGTGTGTGCGTGAGAGAGAGAGAGAGAGAGAGAGAGAGAGAGAGACAGACAGACAGACAGAGAGAGAGAGAGATTGAGGGCAACTAGTGGGGATTTGGCTCTCTCTTTCCAACACGTGGATCCTGGTATTCAAACTCAGATCAAAGGCTTCCTGATGGGCACCTTCACCTAATGAGTCATCTTTCTGACTCCAGTTTTTATTATTATTATTATTATTATTATTATTATTATCATCATTTAGACAGGGTTTCATGATAGAGCCCTGGCTGGCTTTGCACATAAAGAGATCCACCTACCTCTGCCCCGCAAATGCTGGGATTAAAGGTGTGTGTCACCATACCTGGCTCAGGCTTAGCTCTCCATGCCTAGGGTTCCAAGTCCATTCTTCCTTGCCCATGTTCTTGCTGTCAGCAGAGCAGGGACAAAGGGTGCAACTCTGTGCTCTTGTCCACAGAGACCCAAGGAGTCCCCTCCATCTTTCAGCGACTTTGACTCAGGAAAAGTCAGTTGCTTGATTTTGCTACAGAAAAGGCCTTCCGGATGAGCTGGCGTGAAGCAGAGCTGGGTTCCTTACGCACATCTGTGTGAGAGGGCAGAGGTGAGAAAGAGGAGTCTGGGAAAGAGGCAAGCGCACCCTGAGTGTGGGCAATGGTGGTGCAGCAAGGAGTGAGCAGGCAGGGAAGGGGGCAGCTCGGGAGGAAATGTCTCAGGGATGAACAGCAGGGAAGAGAAGGTGGGAGTCCCCAGGGTCTTCCAGCATCTCCTCCCCTTCCCACCCTGGCAGGAGATGTCACCTCCAGAAACCTTGTGTTTCCTTCACTCGCTCCGCTGCTCAGTCTTCTGTCCTCTTCGTGTTTTGAGTTGTCTTTCCTACGGTCAATTCTCAATCCGCCCTAACCAACGAGCTCTATGAATACCAGAAACCCGGGACATAGGTATAGGTCTTTCAGAGAAAAGCCGGGGTAAACATCTTCAGGGTAGCCATACATGCTGGTTTGGTGACTTCTGAAGCCGCACTGGAAGGGTTGCTAAGGAACGTAAATGAAGTCACAGGTGGTTCCTAGGCTCAGGGTAAAATTGCAGCTGAGAAAGATAAAACCCTGGGTCATGGGTTACAGGGTAAGTTAAGGTTTTTTTTTTTTAACTGTAAACAAGTTTAGTCTTAAACGTGAGACTGCCAGGACGTTATCTGGAAAAGAAGCGAGGCTGTACTGGGAAGCCACCGAACTTAGGCCTTCAGCACGGCTCACTGATGCTTAGCACAAGGTTTCTCTGTACGGAAGGAATATTGCTGTGTGTTAGCAAGGCTCACAGCAAATGTGGACTGTGCTGGAGTTCTCTATGCTCAGCCTGACTTCTGTTTCCCACAGACCCTCACCTTTCAGTTTTCCCATCTCTCTACCGTGCTTCACGCCTCTTCCTTCCTTTGGAGCCTTGTACATTGTGCTCCATTTCGTGGCCATAGAAGCCACAGAAATTCCTCGAATATTTCCCTATGAGGCCAGCTCTGCCATCAGTGCAGGCTGTGGCTGCCCGTCTGATCTACAGGTGTTTACCGGACTCGCGCTTCTCCTGGGCCAGCTCTGAGAGGAGAGACACACGAGTCCCCTTCTGTGGTGTTTAAATGCACCTGACTGTGATGTAATAGGAAGCCATTTTCATGGCGGCTGAAGACATGCCTGTAACACAAACAGCCAGTCCCGGGAGCAGTGTTCGCCACTCTTGCCAAGTCCTCGGTGAGTTTCTATCCCATTATGTTCTGCTTTGAAAAGTGTGGTTTTCCCCCAGTAAGTCAACCTGACATCCCAAGAGTAGCACACAGTTTGTAAACCACTGTCTCCCTCATAGTAAGTTTACTGGGTTCGGGAGGGTGGGTGTGGGCACTATACCAAACATTTGGAGACAGACATACATTTGTTTTCTTCTTTCTCAAATGCGCAGCTTTGGGAATAAAAGGAAGTCTTGTCTTTCAAGCTGTTGTCTCTACGATGTGTTTAAAATAAATCCATTCAGACATTCAGCAGATTCTCCCTTCTCCTCAGCCTACTGCTCCCTGGCTGGGCACTATGTGAGGGGGACATTATGGAAGGACAGAGCAGTGAGCTTGCGGAGCAAAAAAAGGGAACTCTGTCCATGGTCGCACCCACTGTATGCCTACTTGACCCAAGCTAAAGTCATTTGAGAGAAGGGAACCTCAATTGAGAAAATGCCTCCATAAGATCAGGCTGTGGGCAAGCCTGTAGGGCATCTTCTTAATTGGTGATTGATGGGGGAGGGCCTAGACTGTTGTGGGTGGTGCCATCTCTGGGCGGCGGTCCTGAGTTCTACAGGAAAGCAAGCTACGGGGAGCAAGGCAGTAAGCAGCACCCTTCCATGGCCTCTGCATCAACTCCTGCCTCCAGGTTCCTGTCCTGTTTGAGTTCCTGTCCTGACTTCCTTCAATGATAGACCACACAATGTGGAAGTCTAAGTCAAATAAACCCTTTCCTCCCCAGCTTGCTTTTTGGTCATGGTGTCTCTTCACAGCAATAGAACAATGACTAAGGCATTCTATAAAAACCAAAGAACAAGTTACACACTTTGAATATGTAGTGATGAGACAGGCACAGACAAAACGTTTTTATCCCCAACAGTTGAAATGGTGGGTAGGAAGGAAGTATCAGACCAAAGCAAGACCAAAGCTGCCAGGGCAAATGTGAGATCCTGTATGGCATCCAGGGCACATGGTGGCAGTGGCAAAGGCTCTAAGGAAGTCTTGCCAGTTCCAGCCCACATGGCCTCTCTCTTAGGCTAGCTCCACTTGCTGCCTATAGCCTACTTTGGTGGGTGCGTCACACTCTGCCATCACTAATTGCTGAGGTCTTCATTGCATCATTGGCTCCACGGTCAGGGCTTTATGCATCGCCCTCACAAGGGCGTCTGGCAAGGACTCTGCCTCTTCTGGGTACCTGGTTTCCTAAGCATTCCATTGACGTCTCACTGAGCGCCTCCATGATTTCTTAGTTTTAATCCTGTCTAGGCCTGGAAAACCAGCACCACATGGTGCATTCCAGTGTCTGTTGTCAGCGTGAACCACACAACTGAGGCCACCTGAACCTCAGCTGCAGCGACATCTGGGTGTCTAGATATCTCATGTTCCCTCCCCTCCTCCTTCCTCTCCTTTCTCTCCCTTCCTTCATTTTTTTTTTCTTTCTTGAGATAGGGTCAAATACTATAATTCAAGTAGCCTAAAATTCACTGTATAGCTCAGTCTGGCCTCAGAACTTCATGGTAATCCCCGTCTCTCAAGCGTTGGGATCGAAGGTGTTTCCATCAAACTTGACTCCGGTCTGATTGCTGATAACAATTCTCATAGTACATATGGCTGAAAGCAGCCAGTAATACCTATGCCACTAACCAAATGCCGGACACCTTGAAAGTTCCTCTCTCAGATAAACTAGCCCATCACCTTTAAATTCAATGTCCCAACAAGTCTTGGGTCTGGGCAAACTGTAAACAATGTCTCTCTGACAATGTAACACGATGTCCAGTCCATTGCGGGTAGTTGTTCAGTCTTTGGTTCAGTCTGACAGCTGAAGCACCCCCTCCACCTCTGCTCTTGCTGTTCTGAGCTCCCACCAGAATCACTGAGGACTCGCATAAAGCCTTCTAACCTTCGCCTAGCCTACTTCTCGACACTTCTCCAAATTCCTCCGGCAAACTACTTCCAGAAGGTTCTGAATCGCAGAGTGAGTCATCCTCACAGCAGTGGCCCAACTCTGGATACTATGTTTTGGTCATTCCCAGTGCTTGGGAGGCAGAGGTAGGCGGATCTTTGTGAGTTCAAGGTCAGCCTGGTCTACAACCCATCAAACAATAAAACCAAATACAACAAATTATAGTCAGACAGCCAAAACAAACCAAACCAATCAATCACATATGCGCGTGCATATGTATACGTACACATTCACACATATACTCATATACTCACTCAGATACACTCACCCCTACACTCACTCACATTACACTCTCACATATAAACTATAACACACACACACGTTTTCACACTCAGCTGCCTTCACCTCTAACATTTATCCATGTAGACCACACACTCTCTGTCTCACACACACGCTCATTCAAAGACACACCACACCACCCTCATCCACGCACATAGTCTCACACATACTAACACTCACTCAGAATCACTCATCTCCATGCTCGCCCCCACCACACACTCACATACACACACACTCTGTCTCTCACACACACCTTTATATTTAGCTGCACTCACCCTCCACACTCACCAACATACACACCCTCACCTACACACTCTCTCACACACAGACTTGGATACACTCTTCTCCTCAGACTCTCACATATGCCCTTATACACACACACACACACACACACACACACACACACACACACACACATCTTATCATTGTGTAAACACTAGAAGGGTTGAATAGCTGCAGTACCTTGGCCTCAAGGGCTGACTGGTTTTTACACGTGACAGCGTGACTCTGAGGACTCTGTCGTCGGGCACACTTGACTAGGAACCGTATTACCCTGCAGAACTGTAAATTCTACTCTATCAGCTGATGTAGCATTAAAGCCATCTGTGCCGGGTTTTCTCATTTAGAGGAGCGATTTCTCTAACAACTGAGCAAGTCATCTTTTCTTTTTCTGACTCGTATGCAGCAAAATCTCATCAATAGTTCACAGAGCAACTCAGAAGTCAAGCTTAAGAATTTTGGTTCTGTTTATTTAAAGATGTCTGTGGGCATTGTGAGCAGCCCAGGACAAAGTGTGCCATATCCTGACAGGACAGACAGCCACCAGCCTCCCCATGGAGTGTGCAGTGTCCTTCCAGGATAGACAGTCACCAGTCCCTCCTCCCCCAGTGGCTGCTCAGCCCTGCCTGCACCCCCAGTCTTTACTTGGAGGCCTGGCTGGTAGACACAGTCTTTGGCCCAGATGGAGCCACAATCCCAGAAGCACAGTGGATGAGCCAGCCTTGCCGAGGGTGGACATAGCAGATCCTGTGAACTTTGCTGAAGTCACCATCTTTGGATGAGCCAGTGCACAGAACAGCATGAAGAGCACCCTCCTGAGTCTGAGCACACAGCACATCCAGTGAGCTGAGAAGGGGGAGCAACTGCAGGAGTTCCTGAAGTATATGAGGCCTGTGCACAGCACAGTGAAGTAGGGGGAGGGGACTCACTGCGAGGCAGCCTTCCTGTTGCGGGACCTGAAATGGAACACTAAACCCTAAGTCTCAGCCTTCAATCTGGGTGGTATCTATGGACACCTTTTGTTTGTTTATTTTTGCTTTGGAAAATATGTTTGTAGACATAATCCAATATAAAAGTGATTGTTTGATGATGATACACAGCTTTGCTCACACACAATAAAGCAGACTGAGGAAATAAAAATGGAAAGATAAACTCAGGCCGTGTTTGGTGGTCCAAGTTTATGATCCCAGCTATTCGGGGGCAGCGGAAGGAGGAATATTGAGAGTCCTAGGCTAGCCCGGGCTTTAGAGTGAGACCCTATCTCAAAACAAAAAAATAAAACAAAACAAACAAACAAAAAACAGTCAAGGAGAGGCTGGGAACTTATCTACCACTTATCTCAGTGGTAGAGTCTTGCCAAGGGTGTGTGTGAGACTCTAAAGTCAATCAATGATATTTCAGATTTCCCCTTGTTTATAGTTCCAGTTAACAGATAGTGGAATTTGAGCATTCCTCTAACTTTTTTTGGATTTTCAAGACAGGCTTTCTCTGTGTAGTCTTGGCTACCCCAGAACTTGCTCTGTAGACCAGGCTGACCTCAAACTCTTAGAGATCGCCTGCCTCTGCCTCTCGAGTGATGGGATTAAAGGTGTGTACTACCACTGCCCAGCCTGCATTTCTCTAACTTTTAAACACTTATTTATTTGCTTATTGCAGGTGAAAGGGGCAAGTGTGGACGCATGTGTGGCAGAAGTCAGTTTTCTCCTTCCACTCTGTGGTCCCTGCGATCAACACAGGCATTCACGCTTGGTGTTGGGCACCTTGACTGGCCGAGCCATCTCGCCAGATGCATTTCTCCAGTTTTGATTTCACCATTCTTCCTTCTAACAATTAGGAGAAACTCTACTAAAGGGAGATTCGGGTTTACTTAACTAAATGGAGAACATGTTTTCAAGCAAATATTTTGTAATGAGCTATGAGTAGCGTTGATATGAACGGTCAGCTGTTTTACAATGGTGGTAGCCGTATGTACATCCTGTAGCAGATGGAATGTCTGCCTTCAGAGTGTAGAACAACTTCTATTAGCCAATCACATTCATTCTAATTGCCCATTATCTCTCTTATCTGGTTCATTGTAACCAGAAGCATCATCATTCTTAATAAAAGTCCAGTTGCGTGTTTTCTTCCCTTTCATCTTGTTAAAAATTGAGCTGAGCCGTGGCCCATTAACTGTGTCTTATAATCTACTAATGTATTGTCTTGCCAGTAGTTTGAATAATTCTGACATAAATAATAAAGATGCAAACAAGAGACATTCACAGAGTGGGAAGAGCCGGAGTACACAAGAGAAAAGCACAGGAGACAGCTGCGGGGAGGAGAGGAAATCCGGAGTGAGTGTGTGTTACTGACATGAGCAGGGCCAATGCCAGCGCCTCAGACCGTTGGGAGGGGCAAAGCCTTTCCCGGGACAGGTGTAGATGCATGTCAAAGCCTTACTCTGGTCCAGCTGAGTGCTGAGGAAGGGTAAGACCTTAGCTAAATGAATGCAGAAACTCTCACCCACAGCTTCCTCCTCCAGGATATTTACAGCCCCAGACTGCTCCCTCCAGAGACCTCCTACCCAAATGAGCTAATCCGCCTCCTCATCCTGCTGTAGACAGTAAACCTCACTCCGTGGTAGATAATAAACACATTGCATTCTGGGCCCACTGGCACATTTCCTTTAGAGCGTGTGGTCCGCTCAACCCCAGCTTTTCTGTACACGTGTCTGTATGTCTGCCATTTCTTCATTCCCTGGTCACCCCAGTCAGAACAGTCTCTAAAGGTGTGTAGATCTTGGGGCCAACAGCAAGAGACAGAACAGAGCAACTGGGCAATTTCAGATAAACTGTCTCACATGGTAACTATAGCTCATAACGTACTTTTATCCTGGTGTGGTGGTGTCTACCTATAACCTCAGCCCTCAGGAGGTGGGGACAGGAGGAACAAGAGTTCAAAGTTTGAAGTCAGTCCGGGGTCTCAAAAAAGTGAAATAAAACAAACCAATAAAAAAATAGTGTAGACTTGAAATTTTCTAGGGTGGATCTTAACTATCACACACACGCACAAGCACACACAACAGTTACTGCAAGATGATAGATGTTAATCAGCTTGACTATGGTGATCATTTCATAATGTGTCCATGTATCAGGGCTTCAAGTTGTACCCCTTAGAGAATACGGTTTTGTCAATTACACTTCAGTAAAGTTGCACAGTATTTTCTCCATGATAGACTAGTCCCATTATATTTAGCCCTATGAACAGAACCAACAGCCCATTAAAGGTTAAAGTGCCTGAAGGATTTTGACACGTTCTAGCACAGTTGCTGGTGGTCAATTGCTCACTCATTCCTGCTTTGTGTAGGAATTGGCCCCACAGGCTCCGGTGTTTAAGGTTTGCTCTCCAGCTGCTTGAGAGTTTAATCCCTGGGACCCAGCACGCAGAAGTCAGTCATAGGGACATGTCCTTGTGTCCCTATTATTTTGTTCCCTTCTCTGCCCTCCTCGCCGTACCTCTTGCCAACCATGAGGCTTTCCAGTTTGTTCTACCATTTGCTTCCCACCTTGCCATTCTGTCTTGCTACACAGAACCAAGTCCCTGGGCTACTTTAAATAGTCTTTCTCAGGTAACTGATGGAAGAACTAACACGTCAGGCAGTTTCCCGTGGGTCCTGTCAGACCACACAGTTGCCAGGCTTTAACACTATTCACTTGTTGCAACGATCCTTTCCTGTAATACGGGGCTTGAACCCAGCGCCTTACACACGCCAGGCGAATACTTTCCTGCTGAACCTTCACACACTCTAGGAAAGGGGTCTACAGCTCTGTCCTCAGCCCTTTCTTATTTATGATTTTTACTTTTAAGTTTTTGCCAAACTTTTATTAGAAGATTTAAATTTACAGGGTGAGAACTAATGAAAGATGGAAGGGACCTCGAGATCAAAAGTCAAATGAAATTCAATGGAAATAATTGAACAGGTAGAAATGCGCAAAAACAGAGACCTGGGTTATTCTCTAGCACTGACCCGAAGGGAAAATCATACGTGGAAATGCATCTGGACAGCACTTCCTAAGAACGTAACTGGAAGCCTAAGGTCCCTCATAAATGGCCAGATTGCTTTTAAATTTCGAGATAGTTTCACTAAATTGTCCAGGCTGGCCTTGAACTCACTTCACAGCCAAGGTTTTGAACTTGTCCATCCTCCTGCCTCAGCTGCATAGCTAGGATCACAAACCTGGCTACCTGACCAGTTTATAAGGCGTTTCTTTGGAACTTGCAGAATCTTTGTCTTCTGATTTGACTTTCTTCCTATTTTCTGCTTTATTTTTTAGTGGACCGTTGAGGCAAATTCATGGATTAAAGGCATTAAAGATCCCTAACACAGGTTCAAACACCAAAACGCAGACTGTTTGAACACATGTGTACAAATCTCAGTCACTGAGTGAGTGACCCATTAGGGAATGAAATCAAGGTCCTTCTCCTTGGTGTCATTTAACCAAGAATGTGTCCAGATTTGAATTCTTTACTTCATGCTCACTGTGTCTGTCCTCTGTCCATCTGTCTGTTGTATGAGTCTGACCCTGTGCCTGCATGAATACTGTCATGTGACTGTGTCTGTGTGTCTGTCTGTCCTCTGTCTGTCTGTTGTATGAGTCTGATCCTGTGCCTGCATGAAGACTGTCATGTGACTGTATCTGTCTGTCCTCTGTCTGTCTGTTGTATGAGTCTCACTCTGTGTCGCCTGAAGGTGGTCATGGACTGTGTGTGTCTGTGTGTCTGTCCCTAACAAAGAGCTCTGCCTTGCATTTGTTGAACAGCATCACACAGGGAAGGAATGGGGAACACTATGCAGAAATCCTTAACAGATTTTACAAGGGATTAAGTCATGGGCTCCAACTGACCCAGATAACAGACAGTAAACAAGCACCATCCCAAAGTTGTGTTCAACACTTTCGGTGAATACTCATTTTATAGGATTCCTTTCAACCCCTATTTTTGCGGTGTTCAGCACACGATTATTAGAATACGCGTACATTACTCTGGATCGTGGCATGGAAGCACACACACTCTAAGGTTATAGCTTTGGGAATGAGCTTAGATGGTAAAAGCTGATTACACGGGAAAGCAGAGGCCACTGGTTGATTGTTACATTGTTCTCTTACAGGCGGGTTAGACAAAAGGGCTGAGTACACAGTAGGCTAGCAGTGTTAAGTGGTCTCAGTGTATAGTATTAGTTTAGGCTATGAGGCCCAGCCAAGTTTCCAGTCCCTTAGAATGTAACATAATTTTACCACAATGCATTGTTACACTTAAGTCTCTTGTCTGTCTGAAACTGAATTCTAACGCTTTCATCAACTGCATTAAATTTATGTGTAATAAAAAGAAACACTTTGCATATTCTTTGTTGCTTAAACTTTTTCGGGGTTGGGGGTTCTTCCGCAGGTGAAGCAAGGCCCCGCCACAGTGCTGTTTCTCTGGCAATGCTTAAATCTTGGACGTTTTCTCTTAAACTGATGTTTCTGATTTATACGTAGCCAAACATGTCTTTATTTTGTATCTTCAGATGAACACTGTGCACTTTTAAAAATGGTCTGGGTATAAATGATGACAAACCCACCCTAGTAGCCACAGAGGTCATTTAGAAACATAGGAGTATCTCTCTCTCTCTCTCTCTCTCTCTCTCTAACACACACACACACACACACCATCTTGGTCTGACTGTCCCTGAACAGAGTTCACACTTTGCCACCTTCCTTGCCAAATCCTGGGATTCATTACAGTGGCCAGAACCAAGACACCCCCAATTATTACGATAAACAGGACACGTGTATTATACACTTGCTGAGTGCTCTTGAAAGGGCCAGAGCGAGACTTCCACACCTTCCTCTTTCCTCACCGTGGTTCCTTGTCCCAGGGTCTCTAGCTGAACTGGAGGCTTTCTGTTTAGGTTAAGCTGGCTGGCCAGGGTCTGGGGTTCCGGTTGAACCCCTACGTTCTGTAGCCACACCAGGCCCTTCACTTTGGTGTGGGGATTAAACTCGGATTCTCACGCAGAGCAAGCGTCTTGCCCACTGAACCACATCTCCCCAGCGCTCAGGAACTTTAGAAAAGTATGACCCCATACGACACAGGCCATACAACAAGGAAGTACCCACCGTTCATGGAACCCAGTATTAACTGTGTTTGCGTTTGTGCAACTTGGCACTCGCTCCTGGCACGGCTGTTTTAGCTGGTGCTGGGGAACGTGGAACTGAAGACGGGTTTTCGGTCTCACAGAGTGCAAGGCTAGAACTTCCAGAGATTCCTCCCCCCCCCCCCCCCCACACTCTACCCATGACTGCTAAAAGCCCTTCACGGCCCTAGTCATCTTCCTACTGCAGAGCAGGTCGCACAGCCCCCCACCCCAGACTCAATACTTTTGGGACGGGGCAGGGGGGAATCCAGAAGCCTGAGGTTCTGGCGGGATCTGCGTGATTTTGCTCCGGTAAATGTGCACAGCGCCGGCCAATCCCGTGTCCGAGAACCCGGGCGCGGCATCTCAGAGTCAGGCGCTCACCCCCCGCGGCCTCCGACCCGCGCTGCGCTCGCGAGTCCTTCCCCCGGCCGCGGCTCCGCACGGTGGGGGGTGGGGACGCCTACTTCCCCGGGCGCCGAGCTCTGCCCGCTGAGACTCAGGTGACTTCGCCGGCGCTAGACAGGCCGGGCAGGCGGTGTGGCCGGGCACGCGTGGGGAATGGGAGGGCGCGCGCGTAGAGCGGGGAGGGGGGCCCGAGGGGGGGTGCCGGCGGGCGCGCGCGTAGAGCAGGCAGGAGGGCTCGCGTGGAGCTGGAGGGGGCGCCGGGGTTCTGCGGTTGCGGAGGCCGCCACTACTTCACCGGCGCGGAGGCAGGGGGTTGGCCGGGGTGCGCAGCAGGTCGTGGGAGGTTCGCCGCTGACGTGGGAGAGAAACGCAGCGGCGCTTCCGCTTCCCGTGTCCTCGCGCCCTAGGGCGGCGACACAAAGGCGCGGAGTTTGGGAACCGCAAACCCGGCCGCTCCGTGCAGGAGAGGGCGCCGAAGTGGCCATTGCGCCCCGGCCCAGCCCAGAGATTTCTATTTCCGTGTGTGGTGTGTATTCAGTGAGGCAGGGTCTCTCAACCAAACCCAGGCTGCGATTACAGTCCCCGGGACATTTTATGTGCATCCTGGATCTGAACTTGGGTCCTCAAGCCTGTGTTTAACCACTGAGCCTAGCTCCTAATTTAGAGATTTCTTTCATTTTCTACTCTCTGGACTCAGTTTCCCTCATCAGTTTAGTGGCAAGACTGGGAGACACCTTCCAGGATCTAGGTGCACACAGCTGTTGAGGGAGGTGGGCCGCTTTTGAATCGGCCTTCCACGTGGGGACTGCTGCGGTCCTGCCCCTTGCAGTGTGGTGCTAAGCACAGCTTCAGTGCTATGGGATGCATAAAAGGGGTGGGGGTCTTTCACTTTGGGCTAAGAATCCCATTCCCTTCCCCGTTTCTGTTCTTCACGTTCCACCTTCCCTCTCCATATGATGAATCCATTAAGTGTTGGCTAAAGACAGTTCTGACCTGAGAGGCGCAGTAAATAATTTAAGTGGATGTGTGGGTCTGGCAGCAGCCTGTAGAGACAGTCTGTTTTTCTCCTCCCCAGAGGAGAGGGTTCAAGGCTGCCCACCCCGCTGACTAGCCTGTGCTAGGGCCGGCTAGCGGGAGGTCAGGGCCCTGGTTGAGTGTTGCCAGGATGTCCTGGCAACAGGTACCAGTTATTGTAGCCCGGACTGGAGGAAATAAAATCCTTGGTTCTTGCCATAAACCTTTTTGGAGACTATTTAAAAGATGTGCGCGGGATGGTGCTGTGTGAGGCCAGGGGATCAAGAGGTCAAGGCCAGCCATTGCTACACAAGACCTGTTTCAAGAAACAAAACAGAACATGTAAAAATAAGTAAAAGACATAAGAACACAGGGCTTATAATATTGAAACAATCATCAAAATGCTATTAAAACTCAAATTTATACAATATTCTTCATTAGCGGCCTTAAGTAACAAAATAACAAAATGTCATCTGAAGCAGATGCCATCTGAAGCTGAGTGGCCCCCCCCCCCCCCCATGCTCCGTGGACTTGGGGCAGCAGTGGCATGACTGTGTGTGTTGAGTCTCTAGACAAGCTTCATCAGGCACATTGCAAGTTCATAGTCCATGCTTCCCAGCACTCGGGGAGGCAGAGGCAGGTGGATCTCTGAGTTCAAGGTCAAGCCTGGTGAGTTCCAGAACAGCCTGGGCTACACAAAGAAACTGTCTGGAAGCAAACAAAACACCAATCAAATGAAAGACTGATTTTTTTCATCTAGTGACACATGAAAATAGAAATAAATGTATGTGTGAGTCCACAGCCCCCTGGGCTCTCCCAGTGAACACCCAGAAGCAGAGGGCTGTGACCTCAGGTGACTTGCTAAGAGCTGGTTTTCCTTCTAAGTTCTGTCTGTTTTTATCGTTATTAGATTGCTTAATGGGTTTGCTTGTTGGTTTGCGTCAGTGTCTTACTGTGTAGCACAGACTGGCCTGGAACTTGGAATCCTCTAGCCTCAGCTGCCAACTGTGACTGAAGCAGTTTTGGCCTCTCAGTGTCTTCTGACCTCTGTTAGTCTCAAGAGTCTCCTGTGCTCAAGGGCACAGTCGTTCTGGTGGGAAGAGCATTCTAGCAGAAAGCTGCAGGATTGTCCACTCCCCCTCCATCCCCTCCATCCCTCCACACCCCCTTCCCCCTACACTCCCTTCTTCCCCGCACCCCATCCACCCACCCACACTATCCCTCCATCCCCCTCTGCTCCTCCTGTGAGTGACACTTGCAGGATATCCCACTCAGAGTGGATGTGTCGTGGATGTGACTCTGGCGTACCGCAGCCTCTCTCCTTTCAGCGATGGTGAGCAAGTGTGTGTATCAGGGTTTCTTTTCTTTTTGTCACTGTGACCAAAATACATGTCAGAAACCACTTAGGCAGGAGAGAGTAGTTGTGGCTCATGGTCTCAGGGGTTCAGTCCATCCTGGCAAGGAGGGCTTGCTGCAGTAGGCAGTTTATAACTTGGTGGCCAGGAAGCAGAGGGGGAGCGTGGACTCTCCTGTGACTTTCTTGTTTTATTCTACCTGGGTTGCCTACATTCAGGTGGGTCTTCCCCCTCTGTTAGCCGCCTTGGAAGGCCTCCACGGACAGGACACAGTTGGGCCTCGTCTGCCTCAGGAGTGATTCTCAGTTCAGCCAAGTTACCGCTAGAGCAGTCAGTTGTCTTGGGTTTTAGGACAACATCACTAGTTGTTTTAGCTTCATTTTTTCCTGGCTCTGACAAAAATACCCTACAAGAAACAGGGAGGAGGGTTTATTCCCCGTGCAGGTCTAGATGTTCAATTCCATCGGTGGGGAGGGGAGCTGGAGGCTGCTGGCCACATTGTACCCACAGTCAGGAGGTAGAAATGCCCAGACTCAGTGATCTGCGAGGCTCCATTTCCTGAAGGTTCTCTAACCTCCAGTCGGGCCCCTTGTGTTCCAACAGCAAGCCTGTGGGGGGCATTTCTCATCCAACCTCAACACTAGTGTCAGGGAAGAAAAAGGGTTACTGCAGCTTAGCCCATACCCTGAGATGACCTGAGGATGCTCTGCTGAAACAGTGTCATGCCGATGCAGTGGGAAATTCAGATGAATTTCCCCAGGTTTTCAAGTGAAAAAGACGTAAGAACGAGAAGAGTTGAGCAGCCCAGAGAAACTGAGACATCATTTACAGGCTGGTGTCCCATTCTTAGAGTAACAGCGAGGCATATGCATGTGTCAGAAGCTGTAGTTAAAGACCTTCCTGGTAGCCCCTGGCTGGAAACAGCTCTTTGTCAACAGGGGGAGGGGTGAGTGCATTCTAGGTGTTTATACAGTGGGACATTCTACAGTCTTGGAGCTGAGACAATGAAACACAGAAGAGGATACAAGGTTAGCGCTGTGTGACGGTGAAGTTCCAAACTGGACACAAACAGACCTGTGGAGGCAGAGACTGGACTAGGGATCAGTCTGGTGCAATTAGTCACAAGGCGGGAGAGAGGGGCTTCTGGACTTGTCGGTTTTATCACAGGGGCAATTAGGTGAATGTCATTGGTGTGCCATTAGAAATAGTGATGGGCACATTTGTGCCTTTCCATACAGTCAGAATTTGCTAAATAATGATAAATTCACAACCAGTGCCATTTTCATTGGCTACAATTCTCCATTAGTTCTGATTTCTTGATAGCTGGTTGAGGCAGACACAGATTCTTTCATTCGGATCTTAATTACTGACTTATTAATCCTCAGATCACAAATTACACAGCACACAGTAAAACAATTTGTCTGTGTGTCTGTCTATTAGATGTTGGATGAGGTGGGATGTGTGAGAAGACACAGGCAGATTACTTGAAGTAAGTAGTTTACTAGAAGAGATATTAACGCCATCGGTAAGCAGAGGGGCACCAAGGTGGTTCAGAGAGAGATAGAATGGCAGGACCTCTGAAGAGAATCAGAGCCCATGTGGCAGAGGAGAACCCCTTTTTAGATCCTTTGTGGGGGGAGAGAGTGTCACAGTGAGAGCCAGCAGCCTGACTCCCCTGCACTGGACTACTGTCTATGTGCATTTGTGGGTAGACTCCAGAACACCGAAAGGGGTTCAGTCAGCTGTAGACGAGTGCACAGACCTTCAAAGAGGCCTCACTGTGGGTGAGCAGGGGCTAATAGGGATGCAAAGGACTCTAAATAATGACTTGTCTGCTACAAAATCAAGCTACAGAAATGAGGGAGAGACTTAGAGATGCAGAGCCAATTCCAAAGGGATGGGAGGGTGAACAGGCAGGCAGAAGGGTGGATAGACGGCAATCTGAGTAGGGCAAATAAATAAACTGCGAGGACAGAGCCAAGTGGAAGCCTCTGGAACAACAGATTTCTCCGTGTGTACTCCAGCTGATGAGATGGCAGGTTGGCAGGGCCATTGATGTTGAAATATTGGGTGAGCTCTTCTTTGGGTCCAGGAGAGGGTTGCACCATTGTCTCTCTTCAATATGCTTTGTAAGTTCTTGGTCTAGTTTTCCCAATATGATTTTAATATGCTAATGTGACCCCAGTGTGCTTTGATGAATGTATCGGGTGGCACCCTTTCCACCTTTAGAAATAAGTTATCAGTCTGTGCTGGTCAAATGGTAGCATTTATGGGCACAACAAGGGGTCAGAATCACCCTTCTCTAATGGAGTCAAAGCTGCTCATAAAACGGAGTTTCAGGATGAGGCATTGGCCTGGGAAAAGTAGTTTTAAACAACATGGAGTGACTTAGGGTTGAGTACATTCTGACCTTACCAGCAAGTCCATGTCTTAAAAGCCTTCATTTTAAAAAGTATACTTTAATTTAAAAAATATGTAAAGTGTTCTGCTGTATGAGAAATTTTGTCCATTCAGATTCTCTAATCTGGGAAGTCTGAAATGTAGAGGGCATGTCATTGGTGATTAAAAGGCCTCAAGATAGCTTGAGAACTGTCAAGGGGGGAAATGCAATATCAAATCAGTATTCTTTGTTGAATTAGGGACTTGTAAAGTTGATTCCCTTTTGCTGGTCTTTAACGCTCATATAAAACGACTTAGGGTTGTGTTTGATGATAGGATTGGGGTGG